TTAGGCACTTATGAAAACCTAAATCACTGGCTTTCAAGAGCGTGAATTACTTTTGCCAAGGAGATTCAACTACGTTTGATGAAATCATCCTTAGTGACTGCCAGAAAGGCAGTATTTCACAAAACTAAAATCAAAGTCAGATCCTAGTAGGATGTACTTTAAGATGTATTTTAAGATGATCTATTTTAAGACATTGCTTTTAAACTTCAGCTTAATTGTATATCTATTTCAAATATATAATATTTTAATCACTGCTCTCATAGGTTTAAAAAGCATAAGGTAAGTTTTTGACTGTTACAAAATCATTACTATTTTTCCTTGTTAACTTCAACTTGGAGATAGCTTTTATCACTATTTTCCTACTAAAATTCTCATCTTACGTTTAAAACTTTTCCAGTTCAACAGATTATGCAAAATATTTGTTCATGTATTTATTTTCTAACTACTCATATCTTTATTCATCTTTTTTTTCCTTTCAGTATTAGTTGTCTTGTTTACGGCTCTCAAGAGACAGAGGAAGAAAGAACCTTTGATCATCTCAAAGGATGATGTTCGGGACAACATTGTGACCTACAATGATGAAGGAGGCGGGGAAGAAGACACTGAGGCTTTTGACATTGGCACACTGAGAAATCCAGAAGCGAGGGAGGAAAGTAAGATGAGAAGAGATGTTATCCCAGAAACTATATTTCAGATAAGACGGACTGCACCTCTATGGGAAAACATTGATGTCCAAGATTTTATTCATAGGAGGTTAAAGGAAAATGATTTAGACCCAGCTGCTCCTCCTTATGATTCACTAGCAACATATGCCTATGAAGGAAATGATTCCATAGCAAATTCACTCAGCTCCCTGGAATCGCTTACCACGGAGGGTAACCAAGACTATGATTACCTCAGTGACTGGGGACCACGGTTTAAAAAACTAGCAGATATGTATGGTGGAGATGACAGCGATCGAGACTGAGAAAGTAATCTGTGACCTTACCTTACCAGAAAATAATCTGGTCAGTGTTAGTGGAGTTCATGTCTATGTTACTAGATAAAGTGGCCTACTCTCTCTTACTCGGGAATAAAAAATTTACAATAACTAGATGTTGTCTTAGTAAGGGTTTGCTTAATCAATATGTCAAAGTGAATGAATATGAATGATTCAGATTTTTAAAAAATCTATAATTCACCCTCTCTGCCTAGAAACCTCTAATGAAATGTTTTCATTGACAATAAAAAGACAATAAAAGGCTTTTTGTGCCTTTAATAATGAGATGGAAACTTAATTTTTTTTTAATTCCTTTGCATTACCTTTCCTATGAGCTGGGACAGTGTGCACCAACATTGTAACATAATCTCAAAAATATACTTTAAAAAATATTAATATTACTGCCATATTTATTGAGTTAAAGAATGTCTGTGTGTTGTTTCATCATGATATTTTTATATATGTATATTTATATTTTTGTATTTTTATTAAATAAATTAGTATTTATAAAAACACTACTTAATCACGTACTTTGTTAACCATAAGGAATGTCCAATCTTTCTGAACAAAGGAAACTTCATGTTGTGCAATACTTACTTTTTGAATGCGTCTTCTTACATTGGATTAGTGGATGAAATGTACTGTGCAAGAACAATATGGAGAGAGTGCTCTGTAATGGAAATGCAGTGTAGAAAAAAGAAAAATTATTTTGAAAAAGTGATTATAAATAAATGCAATCTGACTTGCAATGTGTATTACTATATGGCATAACAATATAGATTCGTTGTGGAATTCGCCTCCACATACCTTCTGATATGAACAGGTGACCAATGAGAAGATTTAACAGATATACATATATGCCTGGTTATTTAAAGGAACCATGAAGATTTATTGTGGTAGATATGAAAACAATTTTATATCATGCCTTTAAAAAAATTAGAATGAGCAAACATCAATAATGAAAGGAAGGCTTTTGTATTCTAATATTATTTTTGGATTTTGAGGCAAATAGGCAAATCAGATGCGTTACTAATAGCTTCTTTTTAAATCAAAGCCAGCCAAGCAATAAAACCAAAGTCCGACTAATATTTTATTAAAGATGTTAATGCTGTCTTCTTTCAAAGAAGTGCATACATTTGCATATTTTCTAAAGCATTAATGACAATTCTCAAGTATATATTTTTGTTTAAAATCTATTTACTGGATCAGTTTTTTTACAATGCACATGGCTTTTTTGCAACACAAAATAGGAGGAATTTACCTGGATCACATGTGGTCTAACAGAGAGTTGCAAGGTTTATCCACATTTGTTTTAAAAACAAAAAAAAATAAAGTGAAAAAAAATCATAGATGTCAATAATATAGAATGTACACATTCCATAGCATTTCTATTTGTCATATGGACTTTAGGGAGAACCAAGTGCATATAGATGTCCAAAATAATCTTATTTTAAGGTTTTCTCTAGATCATTTAGATATTTCTTTCAGATCTTTTCAGAAAGAAACTTAAGATACACATTGATGATGTTACATGGGCTACTTGAGGCATTTACGTCTTAACAAAAATACAATAAATAGGCTGCACACAAGGTCACTTCACCTAGACATATGAACATATTCCTGCCTAATATTTTCCTTTCCACTCTGTTGACTGTCAGATTATCTTTTCACTATTTTTACATCTTTTTATATATTTTTATACATATATATTTTTTATCCCTCTACCATATTCTTCTGCCAGTCTAGGGAAATATCTAAGGTTTTCTGACACTGAACTCCCTTTTTTCTTTTTTTTTTTGGTGTAGCATGGGAGGTAGTGTCAGGGGATAGGGAGGTCCAAACAAGCATTTGAACAGTTCACTGCGAGTTGCACGTCACATCTGCAACACTATGTTCCTGTCCTAGTTTTAGCTGGGACAGAGTTTTTAACAGCTAGAAGAGCTCCGTGTTTTGGTTTCACTCAGAGGCTCGCTCTGAGAAGAATGTTGATAGCAAGCTGATGTTTGTGGTTGGAAGTGAAACTCCAAGGACTTTTCAGTGTGCCGGAGTGCAGAAGCACGGTGGGATAAGGGGGGAGCATAGCTGGGACAAGGGGACACGATTCCCCTTGTGATTTGTGGTGGAACTTAAGATTGAGGGCCAAACTGGCCAATTAGTATTCCATATCATGCAGCATCATGCCCAGTATAAAAGTGAGGGTCAGCCGGGAAGAGGGGCTTTTGCACTTTGGCTCTTTTGCGCTTTGGCTCTTTTGCGCCTGCTGCGCTGTTGCTCTGCTGTTTTT